GTCGCAAATGAGCAGAGGTTCACAAGAGCCGAAAATAACCGCTTTGTGGAGAACTACGATTCGATCCAGAGGCTTCCGCAGAGAGGCTGCTGTTGATGAATCCTGAAATGAACATCAACGAGGCATAGATATGAATGATGACCATTTTGTCAACGCCGTCGAGACCACTATTAGAATATCAAGCCGGATATCAAAGCCAGTGAAAAACCAATGCACCAGCCCTTCAACAAGGCAGCTGATGGCTGGAAAGACTAACCTGATGGCCAAAGGAAAAATGGACAAAGTTTACATGCATTGTGTTGTGTAAAAAGATACGAGAGAAGGTCAAGAAAGACTATGAAAAGATTATGAAATTTTTTAGGTGAATTTTATTAATAGAAGCTCCGGAACAAAAGAAAGTATTCAAGCTGTAAAACGAAATATTCTCCTAAAACAAGGGATTCGTGTGAATCAAAGGACAAAGGAGAAGCATGAACTGCTAATCGAAATCAGATGAACACAATTTTTACAAAGTTCTACAACTATCTGCATTGGTTCAAAGTAGTCGTGAATCGGAAGTTGCTATACGTTGTCCTACAAGCCGTTCCCAAGGTCATCTGAAGCGAAGTTAAGTGGGTCATCAGAAACATTAAAATTGGCAAATGTACAAAACAAGGCGTATAAGACAAGAATTCCTTAAGCCAGGTGGAACAAACCTGTTTAGAGCACTTGTCAATCGTTTTACGGAATACATCAGGCAGAACACGACAAAAGTCTAAAGTGTGGAAGACATCAAGAACGATTCTTCTCATGCAGAAATAGGACCGTGAGGACCCTGAGAACTATCGATCAATTACACTCCTGTCGCAAATCTACCCAGTCTTCATCCACATCGTTCTCAACCGCAAAGGGAATATTCTCGAACTAATCGTAGATCGCTTAAGAATAGGTTATTCTACCACCGAGTTTATGCATGTGATCCGCAGCTTGTGGAGAAGCGCAGCAGATATCAATGTCCATTCTATTCTGCTTCCATCGGTTGCAAGAAGGCGTTCGATTCGATAGAAATGATGACTATGCTGGACGTCTTGCGTAAATAAGGTATGAAGCCCGTTTGCATCAACCTGATGTCAGAACAGAACGCCGGTAGCACGAACGTACATCAAGGTTTTCAGCGAACCATGTAGAATCAGTATCTATCGAGGATTAAGCCAAGAAAATACCATATCACCAACCCTGTTCGCGGAGACCTTGCAATCACTCTTCAACTATTTAAACTGATGCAAAGGCATAAACATTTATGGAAAGCAGCTAAGGCACTGTTATTTGTGTTACTGTCACTGCACAAGTCATCGCGCAATTTCGAGAAGAATTTCTCAACAACGGAACAGAGGCTAAACATAGACTAATATACCATGGATCCATGGCCTGCTCAAAATTTTTCCCCTAAGCAAGCAGAAGCAACGGAGCGGTGCATTGAAGCGGAATAAATCCGCTATAAGGAATTGAAATCTTATGGTCACCAGCGGAATTGGAAAGCTGCAGTGTGATAAATACCCCGGAACATTATGGCTATGTTTTGTCTGCTAATTGAAAGTGTCTTCAGAATTATGTCTGCTGAGTGTCGAAGAACAGAAAAACGGTCTTGCATTTGAATGGTTATAA